CCTAGGGAGATAGTGCGGTAGATGCTTTGCAAGTCCACTGCCATGGCAAAAACAATTCCCGCGGAAGTGTCTGTCTCGGCTCCCACCATGCTGCAGGGCACACTGTGGAGCCAAAGGTCGAATTGTCAACCAGTAACAGACTGACAGCGCTGAGTGGCGGTTAGGCAATTAGTCAACTGGATTTGCGGAGCTGCGACCCGCGGAGAAAACTTCACTCCATTTGACCCAGACACGAATTGTGATTTCCTGAGCTCAGTGCTGGCACACCTTCAGACATGTCAAACCGAAATGGAAAAGGCAAAAAGCGAAGGATGTTTTCACTCAGTTCTTGGTAGGCGCGTTTCGGATGTACTGTTTTTCTTAAATAAGCAAAACGGTGCGCATGCCATTTGGCCACCACACTTGACTACACGGACCCGAGCGCCAGTACTGTGGTCAAAGAAGCAAGTATTTATTGCATGTGAAATAAATTAATGTCATGGAAAAATGGGAGAAAATATTGAAAACAAAACCTCACGATAATAAAGCGGTCAAAAAACATGAAGTCAAATTTCAGGCGAGGCAGCACAAAGTACTTTGAAGTTAACCCGTACTCTTGGCACGCTCTTTCTCGAATTGCTCCTCCAGCTCATCGTTCCTGGTCTTCTGCATTTTTAGAAGGTCGTCCTGATGGAGGGGGAGGGCAAGTGGGCAAAAAGAGGAAAATTTCAGTGAGCAAAGGGAATCAGAGGAATTTGTGCAAGGTCCATCTCCTAAGTACCAAATAGGCTTTTGAATACGTGGCCAGCTTCGAAGACTGCAATAGCCCGAACTTGCGTCATTAACTCACCCCTGGTATTTGGGGTACTATCTATGGGGTAGCCAATGAGTTAGACCAAAGCTGTGGAGACCTGATGAACTCGTTGCTTCTATTTTGCAACTGCTTATTCATTAAACACAGAACACGGCTGGCCTTCGCTAACGGCCATCCTATCATCTGCTGCCAGCGCAAGTGCACAAGGCATTGAAACGGGTTTTCTGACTTTCGATATCCATCTATGTTTAACCCGCAAGGCGAGCGTTATTAGTCCAGTTACGAGAAAATTGTGCGGCGGATGGGGGAGGGGATAGCATTCGTCGTCTCATCGTATCGTCTCGGCGTGCGTCTTCTTGGACATGAATTGGGCTGTGCTTCTTGGTCACGCGAACGGAGGGCATCATCGGACAGTTACCTTACGTTCGCGGATCATGCAAATGAAAGACCCACTGGAGGTTGTTGAGCAGTCTGGCGTCGTCTATAAAGTGCCATGTCGCGACTGTTCTCGCCACCGGGCGACGACTTAGTTCGCGAATGACGGAACACAAACGGACAGTGCAGAGAGGCGACCCACTGTTTCAGATCGCTACTCACACCCTAGATGAGGGCCACGAATTCAACTTCACGGGCACGCGGATAATGACAGGAGGCAGTAATAAGACAGGACGAGAACTACTGGAGGCATAGGTGTCAGATCCCAACTCCATAAACAGGCACTTGAATATACCGCCCTGTTATTTTGCCCCCCGTTCGCGCGACCAAGAAGCACGACCTAATTCATGTCCAAGAACGCACGCCACAACGCCAAGGACGCACGCCATGACGTCAAGGACGCACGCCCAGACAACACGGTGAGACGTGAGCGCGGACTCAACCAATCGTAGCTGGACTACAAAACATGCCAATTCCTGCCGCACTCCCATTTTCTCTGATGATGGCCTCCTTTAAGAGTCCGAAAGCTCGAGATAATACAAGTGCTGTCCCAGTGATCGCGTTTGTCTTCT